TGTTGTTCTTTTCTTTCAACCTTCGTTTATATAAGTTAACAACAACGTTGTAAATCTCGTTATCCCGAAGGGATTTAGAGTAATTCAAAAATATTTGTTTCCTCTGAAGGTATGAACTCTTGGCTTTAAAAAGAAACAAATATTTGACCATATAAAAAAGATCCAGTATCGTTTTGTTATTTAGGTTGATATTAACTTTTTAGTCTTTCTTTATGATCAGCTCAAAGGTCTAAATCATATTATAGATTTTCAGTAAAAACAAATTTAATGTACATTGTATTTTGACGTAGTAAAACGATAAAAAAAACAGTCAATATAACCATGAAACTTAATTGTACTTTTGATATAGACATTTTTTTTCTTTTCTTGTCAATAACATATGCATGCATTTTAAATACAGTCAAACTTACTATTAAGGTTACAAATGTATCTCTATTTAGTGAAAATCTGTCTGGAACCTCAATTCAAAGTTCACCCATCTGATTTACTAAAAAAACATATTACTTTTTGTTAGATATACATTTTCACTTTCATTGTTTCTAGGATAATGACTGGTTAAGCATCATGGTTTTGATGAAAATTGTCTTTGTACAATATTGTTTTGTAGGTTCTAATGAGCTTTTTTGTCACATCTTTCTGAAAACAATAGTCCAATGTTCAGTATTATACATGTACCAATGACCAACTGAGTTAAAACAAGGAAACTGCAGGCTAACTTGATGTAACTCGTATAAAGACTTTTTTTTTCTATGATGAAAAGATTTGTTAGATAAAATTGCTGGGGATGAGATGAGACGATCTGGGTAGTAGGTTTTTGTCCTCGGAGACATCCATGTTCGTTTAGACAGTAAAGTTAATCGACATGGTGTGCGTGTTCTGTGGGCTCCGATGGCATCCTTTTCCTAGCAGGATTATTTATGTATGTTTATATAACTGTTTACAAACCTTTGGAATTTTCGAATTACTAAGGATTTTCTACGAGGGCTATGAGCGTTGTCTTTGTCTGTATTGGCATTGTTGTGAGGATTTTGAGCATTGTCTTTGTCTGTGTTGGCATTAATTTTGTTTTCGATACATTTATACATGATTAAACATCTTATTAACACCATATGAACAAATTTAATTAACTTATAGTTATATATATATTTATACATGTAAACTAGTTTTTTGGCCGCTCAAGTATCCTCCTTTTGATCATGTTCAGCGAAAACGACAATAGTTACTTGGAAGAATGTTTACTTACTATAATTTGTACAGACAAACAAAAAATTTGGATATATTTTAATATAAGTTGTTCACATGTATCGACATTTAACAAGGAATTTCAAAGTTAACAATTGACGATTTAGAAATGTTGTCCTATAATTAAGCAATGACGTGGTTTTGCATTGTATGAACTGTATACTTTAAAACAAGGTTTTCAAATTCACCATAAGGAATTACAAATGGATAAATGATTCATGAAAAACACTATTGACTACTGTTTGAATTAGTGGTACGTTTTTTTTTTGTTGTTTTCCACAGTAATTTGCTTTGAATAGACACTCATATGTTTTAAAGAATAAAAATATTTCAAAGAATTATTTTTCCTGATTACATATTTGACAAAATATAGAAATTAATAAAAGAAAATATAAAATGTCAATATAAAACCACCCAACAGCACAAACATCCACAAAAAATATGAATTTCACCATACGATCTTCAACAAGAATTAATTAAACAAGCTTATAATAAATTGAACTAACATTCCCAAAAAGTCTTCAACGAACAACTTTTTAAGGGACTAAAACACTAAAAATTCATACATAGATAGAAATATTGATGACGGATTGTAAATCAACCTGTTTAACGCCGTAAATAACTATTCTTTCATTAGGCAAACACGTTTGTTTAATAAGTTTAAAGGCAGTGCAGAAATGTGGATAAAAAATAAATTTGAATGCATTATAGTCATCTGCAAGGTACATGCAAGTCCGCTGTAGTCAATTGGATTGGGTAGCCAAAAATGTGTAGAGGAGGAATACATTCAAAAGGTGCCTAATACCAAATGCAAAATATATATAAGGCGTGTCTGAAAAATATTGGTCTGGATTTACCTTCATTAGGAACGCTCAAAATAAAACAAAATGAAAATCATGGATATAAATATTTGAACAAAACGGGCATTAAAAACAAAACCAGATCATTTTCATAGATTCTGACGTTGTTTATCATCTTAATTACGTGTTATAGTGTTCTTTTTATTTGTCTTTGTATAAAGTTTAACCTTTACTGTTTAGTCCATTTTTTGTAATATTCTTTTGACGTGTCTCGGTATTTATACCTCCCGCCATTGTTTTATTGTGTATGGTCATTTTTTGTTTATTCTTATCTTTCATTTTTGCTTATGTGCTTTGTCTGTAGAGTGTTTATATGCCATTTTGTTTAATATAGTTGTTTGTTTTTAAAGTGATTAAGACTAAAACACAATAACCAACTTTTTTTACATTTTTACCTATTATGTCTGTTTGTTTGGCTCACACATTGTTGTCAATATAACAGAATCCTATGCCATGAGAGGTTTAGCTAGCTATAAAACCAGGTTTAATCCACCATATTCTACATAAGAAAATGAGTGTACCAAGTCAGGAATATGACAGTTGTTTTCCATTCGTTTGATGTGTTTGCGCTTTTGGTTTTGACATTTGATAAAGGACTTTCCGTTTTGAATTTTCCTTGGAGTCCGGTATTTTTGTTATTCTACCTTTTAAAGACACTTTTAGGAAATGTTTGTTAATAGGGGGTTTTAATTGGTACAATTATTCAGATAAATTCTGTCTTTTGAATATCATCAGGTTTCTTGTAATGCTGTTTCGAGGGTTCGTTATGACGTTTAGCCCGAAGCTGCATTTCACAATAAAATATTATCAAGTGAAACACTATAAAATTGAGAATGGAAATAGGGAATGTGTCAAAGAGACAACAACCCAACCAAAGAGCAGAAAACATGACTATGCATGACTTGTTGTGTTCTAATACTATAAAGGACTAGAAAAAACAACTAAAGTTAAGTCCAATTTATTGAAATACTTGCAAAACTCTGATGAGTTGAATTACGCCAGAAAATGACAGAGAGGTGCATGTACATCACTTTTTATTCACACTTTGAATTGAACTGAGAAAATATGCACTCTGTTGTTTACTAACGATCTTGTTTAGAAATAAACACTTTAGAAATGTCGTGCTTCCGAAGTTCTTTTCTAGTTTACTTCATCAGGAACACCCAAACCTAGTTATTTGAAAAGCTTCAACTAAAATGAAACGCAGCAGAATAGCCAAATTCATCTAAGGTCAAAACACTATCTTAATAATTTCTTACTTTATGAAGGTAAACTATTACCAATTCAAAACTGTAATTAAATCTCTAAAAAATGTTTTTATTGGTATAAATATTGATTTTATTATCAGTAAATTATAACACAACTAATATTAGTGTTATATACATATACATATGCACATCCACGGTTTTACAATCTGTCGATATCTGTATTTCGGCATTGCACAAGGTCATGTTTCTCTCTGACTGTAAATGACGTCTTTACACTAAATTCATTGGATGTTGGATGTGTTCTGATTGATACTTTAGTCTTAGATACATGATTTTTTATTGGCTTTCAACTAGCTGTCAGTAACTGCAAGTACTCTCACATCTGTACGTAGTGTCTTTTTTTTGTTGCAGGAATGTATAAATACCCTGCCACGTCCAGTCTATGTTTTTGTTACATGTTTGTCTGCTTCGTATCCATCTGATGAGTTAAGCCCTTTTCAACTGATTTTTATAGTTTGTTCATGTTGTACTGTTACAACACTGTCCCAGGTTAGGGAGGGTTGGGAGCCCGGTAACATGTTTAACCCCTCCACATTCTGTATGTGCCTGTCCCAAGTCAGGAGCCTGTAATTCAGTGGTTGTCGTTTGTTGTTGTATATCATATTTGTATTTGGTTCATTGTTTTTACATAAATCAAGCCGTTAATTTTCTCGTTTGAATTGTTTGACATTGACCTATAGTGGAGAGTTGTCTCATTGGAAATGATACTATATCTTCCTTTTTATATATGTGTATCCATAATATAAATAAGATGATGTGGTATGAGTGCCAATGAGACAACTATCTATCGAAGTCACACTGTGTAAAAAGTAATCAATTATAGGTCAAAGTACGGCCTTCAACACGGAGCCTTGGCTCACACCGAACAACAAGCTATAAAGGGTAAAAAAAAAAAAGACTAGTGTAAAATAAATCAAACAGGAAAACCAACGGTCTAATCTTTATAAAAAACGAGAAACACTTATGAACCACACCAACAAACGACAACCAATGAACAACAGGCTCCTGACTTAGGACAGGTGCATAAAAATGCAGCGGGTTTTAAACGTTTAAACAGGCGCCAACCTTCATCCTAACCTGAAACAGTGGTATAACATTACAAAATATGCATAAGACACACAATAAAATATCAATTGAAATGGCTTAACTCGATCAAAAAGACAATACACAAAACAAGTAAATATACACTGAACGAATATGTTTGATCTATGACACAATATGAATAAAAAAGATGTATCAATGTCAAAAAGACAACTTTAACCTAGGACAAAATTGCGTTAAATAAAGTAACGTACTCAGTATCCGTTTGTTTGAAAGCTCAATAATGTTTCCCCGTTGGTTTCTAATAATAAATAAACCATGTGAAAATATACAATAAAATCAGAACTTTCTCAATGTAAAATACATAATAAAAATAGAAATAGAAACTTAAAAAAATGGAATGAGATAACGAAGGGCGATCAAATCAAATGTCAAAGGAATTACCAGAGCCGAAGAAAAAAGGAAAAATTATCAATGCATCACACAGAAATTAGTTGAGGAACACGAACCCCGTCTTTAATACTCACACCACAAGGAACAATATCAAAAGTATTATCCCGGTTTATAATTAACAGTTGAACTGGATAAGTCAGGGTCACTTAATTTATTCACAAACACTGAAATACATTATTTGAAAAGGTTATAAATTCAAGATTTCACACACAAAAAAAAGATTGCTGAAAGTAAATAATTGACTTATTGCTTCTCATCTCCAGTTCAAATTGCAAATCAAGTTTCTTCAAACTACATCTGTAGACATTTACAATCACACTCTAAAATATTAAACGATAATAACTGACTACATTTAAAACGTTTATAAGAAACAAATGAATACCAATACAATAAATTAATGATCTGTTGTGTCCTTTATCTATCATGGCAATGTGAAAATTCATTTCGTAGAATTTCTTTCAGACATTGTTTTTATATCAATCACCTTAATGGTGATATAAAACCTTGAGCAAAGTAGATCCGGAATACCTCTGGAATGACAGTATCATATAATATAATCCATGATATGCCACTGACAGTTGACGCTACTTACTGTTGCAAATTCTTTTAAAGACCGCCTGTAGATCGTCTCTGAAAGAAGTGTTCATGAAGGCATAAATAATAGGATTAGCGACGTTGTAAATAAAATACATGTAGAATAAAATCTTACTAAACGGCACAAGGTCATGTGCCATCAACCATGAGGGCAAAAAGGCAATCAAAAACACTATTGTTACAATAAACAACATGGCGGCAGTTCGTATGTTGGCATAAAACACTTTTTCTTTCAAGCCAAGACTTTTTTTTCTGAACTTTTTCTGACCATCTCCATCTTTTCCTTCGATCTCATGGCCATTGTTTAAAACTGTCATTTGTGTATCAACGGCAGAATATTCATTCGGAGAAGCTGGAAATAAACATGATCGTTTTCGCTTGGCCTTCAAGGCACGTCGAATGTGAATCGATCGATATATTAATCCGTACAAAATTAGAACAATAAGAAAGGATATGAGATAAAATCCAGCGTAAATCTTCTGGTAAACATATGTGACAGAGCTGTTGAAGATTTCGGTACTTGGCACGCACTGTCCGTGACCATACCCTTCATATTCATCCGCTTCCGAACTAACGTTTATACCAATAGTTGCTGTTGACAATGAAGGAGGCACGGAACTATTACCTAATAGTGTGTCATTTATTATCTTTTGTGATATGTAAGACGAAACTGTAGAATTAATGGCGGCATTTATAGTTACATTTAAAGATGGCGGATCTATGATAGAAAATATTCCGTGAGTTAAGGATGTCATTATTCCCAAAATACAAGCAAACACTCCCATAATCATCACGATTATTTTAGCCCTTGGAATTGTTATTGCGTGTAAAAATGGATGACAAATACAAAAGTATCGGTCAAATGCGATGGCGACCATGACAAATGCGGAAAAAGGAACATTACATGTAATCAAAAACATATATAATTTACATGGTAATTCGTAGTAAAGTGTATAGTTTAGATGAAGAACCACAATATTGAACGGGATAATTATCAAACAAGTAAACAAGTCAGTACCAGCCAGAGTTAAGATAAACAATGACGAGGTTGTTATGTCTCTCTTCCTGGAATAGATGTATATGACAAGAGCATTTCCGACACTTCCGGTTACACTGAATATTCCCAGAAGTACCAACACAACCAAATTTTCAGTATCATCATCCATTGTTCTTTTGAATAAAAGACAACTTATTTCCTTTCCGTGTAGTTGTAATTTCCCTTTATCTTCTTACATTATCGTCTGATGGATAGAGTTTAATACCTACAAAATTAAATTTATAATGTTAAACTGAGCATAGTTTCTTAAAAAAAAAACCTTTATATTGTGTGTGTGTGAGAGAGAGAGAGAGAGAGAGAGAGAGAGAGAGAGAGAGAGAGAGAGAGACCATCAAATAATGTGTTACGTTCTCTCCAAATAAAACAGCAGATTCAACAGTAACTCTTCCGATTAGTTCTGTCATGTAGCGCTTACTAGCGTAGTTTCAATAAATCTTTTGACCGATATTTGAGTGTCGGCCGGGATGATCGCATATCACTAGAAGTGCCTGCGTTCAATAACTGCGAGCAGCATAGTAAGGTGAACTACGATTGATATAGACCAGATATAGCTGAACCTTTACTAATAGAACATAAAAAACTTACTTAATCTTAAACTAAATGCATATCAATGAACAACAAAAACTATGATGATGACAGCCTCTTCCAAAGTGGACATGCACCTCTTACAATGATATGTATTTATATTATATGTTTGAACTTTTACTTATAGTACTAAATTTATCAAATAATCTTTACATGGATCAATGAAACTGAATTATTATTATTAAAAAAGAAACTCTTGTCTACTCTAAAAAATCATTACCGTAGGTCTTTTCATAGGCCAAATTCAGTTGACCTCTACTTTGCAAAACTTGAAAAACTGACTTCATTTCGTAAGCAAGGTATGCAAGTGTTCAAAATTAGGAAAACCACATCATACTGATATGTACGTCCATCAATTAATTATTAGATATAAAAATAAAGCTGATCTACAACTTGAAGTATTAGTTAATATAACCATCATACAGCAGCAAAATACCACGACTGAATTATTCGGGTTATATAAAACTGACATACAAAAAAATCCTACGATTGTCCAATGAACCATACAAATAAGGTCAAGGTCAGGTCTACTCTGTGAAGCCTATTGAAGTATAGCGGGGCTTTTTATAGCTGACTATACTGTATGGATTTTCTCGTTATTCTCATTGTTTTAGGCCGCACGATGACCTATAGTTGCTTAAATCCACGTCATTAGGACTCTGTTAGATAGTTGTCTCATTGGAAATCATACCACATCTCCTTGTTTTTAAATGCATATATTAATTCTATAAACAAAAAGATAATAATTCATTATTGACTTATTGTTAATAGTACTGAAAAAACTGTTCACAAAAGACGCAGCATCCCTAGGGAATTATGCGACATTCGGTACAAAAGTCATGACTAGTTTCTAAATCATAATATTGAAAAAAAATGTAATACTTTCTGTGAGTAAATTCAATCCGCTTGAACTATAAGAAAAACATAAGATTTTTTTCAATGATTGACAAATATATGAAGAATAAAAAAATAACCCAATCTACACGTCTACCGCTATGTTATGAATCGGCAGTAGTAAATAAGTACTTGGATTGTGTGTAAGAAACGAAATGATTAAAATACTTTCACGTTTACTAAAATTTTGCATTAGTTTTTTGAACGGATTGATCCCTATGCGAAATTTTATAACATGTCTTCGGGTTTGGCTATACTTAAGGTCCTTTTTGGTTTGATCAGCTCTTCAACGTTTGTATTAGGTTTTGGAATTTTAAATATTTTGGCCGCGAGCATCACTGAAGAGACATTCATTGTCAAAATGCGCATCTAGTGCAGTAAAATTGGTACCGTTCATGATATTACTACCACTGGGTCGATACCTCTTCTGGTGTATTGTTAGTCCCCGAGGGTATCACCAGCTCAGTAGCCAGTACTTTATTCGGAACTGGCATTAAAATACGGATATTGTTTTGATTAAAATTTGCTGTTATAAAATATTAGAAATCATTTTTAACTTAAGGAATATATCTCCCTCATGCGAAACTCTTGATTCCTTGTCCGGATTTGGCTATGCTTAAGGTCCTTTTTGGTTTGTCAACTTTTCAACGTTTGTATTAGGTTTTGGTTTTTTAAATATTTTGGCCTCGAGCATCACTAAAAAGACATTAATTGTCGAAATATGCATCCGGTGCTGTAAAATTGGTACCGTTTATGTTATTCAAGACAGAAAATTTGCTTCAGCATTGAATTTTTATAAATGTGAACAAAATATATTGATTTCACTGAGAGATGAGAATCAGCAATCTAACAAACGTTCAATAGATTTAAATTTATGTATATATAAGTTATAAGTATAACTTTAAAAGTTGATGCAATGGTCAAATGTTAAACAATGGTATTCGACAACTTTGCAGCACCCAGCCGTGTTCACCGCATCTAATTAGATATCCATCATATTATTGAATTGACCAGGACGCAGGTGAAACTTTCATCATATTTCAGGGGTTATAACTTAATTATCATAAGTTTCTTATCGTTGGAACTCAATACAAAACAACTTAATATAATTCGAGTGATTGCAATACAATATGAGCAATGAACAATTGAATTACAAGAATTGACATGTGAATGTAAAACTGACGGTCAAATTGAACAAACATGTCAAATGTTTTGAAAATATAATCAGGGTAAAAAACAAGAATATAATGAGAAAGGTACTCCTTTCACTATTTTATTTAGTAAATGTACAACGCATTTCGGGAATTGTACCTTCCAAAAATACCCCGTAGAGACAGCCTTTCTTAATTATTAAAAAAAAAACAAAAAAAAAAAACTCCATAGATACAGCCTTCCTTAATTATTTGACATGCATCTGAGACAGGCTTTCTTTTCTTTGTACGGTTTCAAATATTTTAAAGTAGTGGTAAAAGATTATTTCATAGGGCGGTGTCTTCTGGCTATTCCTACATTTTGTATTTTACTATTCTGGCTACTCCTACATGGGGGATTATGGGAAGAACAATAGATGTTGTTATTGCAAAATATGTTGTTTTAGTTATTAGTGTCTAATTAGGTCACAGGTAAATTTACCTGTGGAATTTAAATAAAAATAATTATTTATCTGAAATTTATGTAAAAAAATCGGTCTTTTGTTTTGTTTCAAAACAGGTATCAAGTGTTATAATTAAGTGTTTCTAATATGGAATTTCTTCAAAATAGAATTATTTAAAAGAAAAGATAGTCATAGCATTTGGAAAATAAAATTATTTAAAAGAAAAAGAAGTAAAAGCATTTAAAAGTCTGGAAAAAAACTATTTAATAGAATAGGTAGTTAGAGCATTTAATAGTAACCAACACTTTCAACTTTAGCTTCAAAGAGTTAATTAATTTCATCTCCTGCACATTGATTAAGATTTCTCTTGTGTGTTCAATTTAGTGCAATTTATTACTGTATTAACGTATTAGTGCTCTGTTTTAATGTCAATTTTGTATACTTTTCGGTGCTTTGATTCAATGAATATGTAGTGTAACTCAAAATTTAGTGCTTTGTCTCAAAGAATAATTATTGCAATTTTAATATATTTATATTTCAATTGATATTATTTACTTGTATAAATTAATGTTTTCACCTAAATAATTTCAATTGCTTGTGAATAACATTGTGACTATAAATATTGTGCTTTTGAATATTATTTACACAAAATGTGCTATGCACCTGTCCTAAGTCAGGAACCTAATGTTCAGTGGTTGTCGTTTGTTGATTTCTCGTTTCTTGTTTTTTATATAGATTAGACCTTGGTTTTCCTGTTTGAATGGTTTTACACTAGTCATTTTTGGGGCCCCTTATAGCTTGCTTTTCGGTGTGAGCCAAGGTTCCGTGTTGAGGGCCATACTTTGACCTATAATGGTTTACTTTTACAAATTGTGACTTGGATGGAGAGTTGTCTCATTGGCAATCATACCACATCTTCTTATATCAATGAAATTATTAAATAAAATATTGTTATATAAACTATTCTTTTTCTTTATTTTCCACAAGATTTAACTTGTTCATTAGTTAAGTGTTTGTTACAACATAATCCCTACATAATCCCATTGTTTAGATAAAAATTCTGGGAACTCCAACATAAAATTTTACTATTTTAAATGATTTTCTTAAAGTTTTTTTTCATGAAACAATTCTTTCAATCCATACCCACACTTGAATCATTTAAAAAATGTTGCATCTCCATATTGCCGAGACTGAGCAATGAAAATCTGAATCAGGCCATACGAATAATGCAGGCAGGAATACGTGGACGTGATGTTTCCAGACAATTTCACGTCAGTCTTACTGTCCTTACAACAACGGTACAGACAGACGGAATTTGTTGATGACCATCCATGACCAGATCAATATGTAGTGCCAACGCCACGTCAATAAAATTTGATTATGCAACGTCATTTGCGAGACATATTTACGGCCGCAATATCAACTGCTTATCTAGTCAACGAATGCCATGGCAAACAGATTCATGCCAAATAAAGGCAACAGTAGTATACCGCTGTTCGAAATTCATAAATCGATTGAGAAAAAACAAATCCGGGTTACAAACTAAAACTGAGGGAAACACATCAAATATAAGAGGAGACAAAGACACAACAGAAACACTAAAATCCAACACACACAGAAACGAACTATAAGATAACAATAGCCATTTTCCTGACTTGGTACAGGACATTATAAGAAAAAATGGTGGGTTGAACCTGGTTTTGTGGCTAGCCAAACCTCCCGCTTTAATGGCAATGTTAATTATAGCACTAAAATGACAACATTACATGACAGGACTACAATACAAATAAATGGAAGAACATACAGGACAGAGATACACACAAATAAACAATACAATAGAACATTACGACAAGCTAATAGTTATCAAAGGTTCCAGGCCTAAAGATAAAGAGCATTGATGACCAAAAATTCCAAAAAGTTGTGTCAATTACGGCTAGGTTATCTGCCTGGGATAAGAAAATATTTAGTATTTAGAATAATTCATTTTTTTGCAAACAGTAAATTTATAAAATATAAAAATGACCATATAATTAAAATGTTTCCCATATACTGAAATGCCAATGAATCGACTGCAGAAAAACATTTAAAGCCCTATAAAGTTTAAACCGCTTAATTGCCAAAAAC